GTTCAATTCTCTTATGCTTTATTCTTTAACACAGCCTGATCGCTCTCAGGCAGGTTTTTGTGTCATTTCTTTAAGCAGTCTTCAGCAACAGTTCACCACCACATTATTATGTTAGAGCAAACACAATAATGGACACAACACCACAATGAAAGTTTACATGACAATATTTACTGTAGGCTGCGGAGAAAGAGAGATCTGAACAAACGGCCAGCCCACAAGCAGTGGTACCAGCCAATCATCTGACCAGAGATCAGAAAATCCAAAAATAAAAGGATGTAATAAGAGCACTGGCAGTGCATCATGCTGACAAATGAAGCCATCTTTGAAGATGGTGCTGGATGCTGTATCAAAATCTGATGGCACTCTACTGTTTTTATGATTCCATCAACTTTTAAAGATCCCTAACACCACTGGCTGAGATGTAGGCCCAAACCATTACAGAGCCTTTACTTCTCTTATTATCTCCTCTATACATAGTGACAAAGATTTGAAATCGTTCCATAATATCTGACAATATAAACCACCGATTCTCAGTCCAGTTCTTGTGTATTTTGGCACACCTCAGCATAATCTACCTGTTTGGTGTCCTTACTAAACAGACTCTGTAGATAGTTAGCCCTATCATTTCTTCTTCTGTCCTCCACCATACTGTCATATGCCAAATATTTAGCTGTTTGCAACTTGTTGGTGCAAAAAATACTATTTTATACCTGCCAAACTATGCTATATTTGACGTGATTTTTAACAAACAAAAATAGAATTCCTCCAAAAATGATCAGGTACAATGACTGGACAGAAAATCAATGGAAAAAATGTCCAAAGAAAAAGTTTTACAGACCTTCAGAAAGTCTGGAGAACTATTGTTTGAGACCATGTAAATATCACAAGAAAGTTTGGCTCATTGAAAACAGAAAAATGAGGCGAGTACTCTATTACATATGATAGAGTCCTTGTTGATTTGACCAGAGGTCTTTGCATCTTTCTCGTTAATGAAAAACCCTGTACCATGTTGTGAGTGTTTTTCCTCTTTAATTGACCAATACATGATGAACCTAATTATCATGTGACTTCAAGGAGCTCTTTCATTTGTTCCCACATGCAGTAAG